CTACTACTCTTACTACCCCCGGCCACTGCGACTTTTCGGGCAAGTACCTCTGTGATTTTTCACATGTGCTTTTTCACCACGCAATGCTCCTCGAGGAGGGTTTAGGCGACTTCCTCGCAGCATAATTGCCTAACTTTCCCCCACCCCCCTCCTGTCATGGGAGGCCTCCCATCCCTTTTCTTGTCTCTCTCCAAGGGCTAAGTGCTCATCTTAGTGCCCTTAATAAAGGAGCCGGACGTAGAGCACTACAATGTGTGTATATATAAATATATACACAATAATATATAAATATAGACTATAAAGAAAGGCATAATCTTCGCTCGGGACGTCGAAAAGGCATAGTTTTCGTGCGGTACATCGATAAATAGATAAATAAGAGTTTAAATTTAACTCAATACTAACAAGACATAGTAACAATCTTGTAAATAGAGAATGAAATGGGACTTAAACTCCACGGCAGAAAAAAAAAGGTAAATCGATTTAATATTCAAAAATACTTGCACACACACACATTGACTCTCTCTCTCTCTCTCTCTCTCTCTCTCTCTCTCTCTCTCTCTCTCTTTTACCATTCTTAAATAGTAAATTGGCAAATATTTGGATTGTCCGCTGGTCCCACAGCATATGGAGGAGCGTGAGACTGAAATCCACAACCTTTAATTTTTAATCAAAGGCACGGTTAAATGATGGTAAGTCATTCAACAGAATTTTTAATGTTACGACGACATGAGTAGAATTATCTATTTATATCTACTATAAGAAATTTGTATATTATGTAGATTATGTAGTGCATGGAAACAAAGAAGTAAAAATACAAGTAACAATGTTTTTTACGACTGTTTCATAATGTGGTCTATAATATTCTAACGATGGCTTAAGATAATTTTGTTTAATAATTCTGAAGTATATGTGTATCTCTTACATAAATGTTGTGCATGTTTATTTTATAACATTAATTTAAAGAAGTCGTTATTTCTTTTAACAATATCAGAAAGGCTTTTACAAATTGCACGGACTAAGTAAATTCAATCACCTATTACACTACGACGTTGCAACATGAACTAGCCTTTACGTAACTTTAAATAAAAATCTGATCTAGCTACTACAAAACATGGTAAACATACGAAAAAATGTTCTTGGAATAATGTTCTTGTTTCAATCAAGTTTTTCTATTTATTGTAACCATGGTTAGTAAAAAATAACAATAATAATAACTTTTCTAAGAAAAATTTTGGTAAAGCTAAGATTTAAATTTTTATACGTTACTTTGGTAAAAAATTTTCAGCGGTATAAATTATAAAGGTTACCGAATTTTTTTATTAAAACCAACGTACTTTTTATACTTTTTTTTTTTATCTACCAGGTTACCACGACAGCCTACTGACCTAGTGGCGCAGGGGCCACCCACTCACCACCTATGTGTGAGGGTGTATTGCCACACCCATTTCCCAACCTTTTTTCTCATATCCTACCTTAATCCATGGGCACAGTATGAGTATCTCCGGTGGAACAAACCTTGCCAGTTAACCTGGCGCTCTTTGCACCAATGGTGCATCGGGTCCACACGCCACTGTGTAGCCTTTCCCCGGAGAAGACTCCATTATTCCAGGACGTCCGCTCCTCACCGGTTAAGCCAGCGCTCTTTACAGAAGTATCAAATCCAGACTAATTAGCATCCCCAGAGAAGCCCCGTGTTTCAGGGACCACTCCTCGCCGGTAAGGCCGGTGATCCCTGCCACTTTTTTATACTTACAAACACAATGATAAACAGGAAACTAATTTATTGCAGTTATTTTTTACAAGCAAGGATTTTATTTAGCAAAATATTAATGTTACCCACAGGCATATGCATGTAATAACTCTATATATACGTGGATGTGTAATTGTAATTAGTTTTTTAGCCAAAAATTGTACAAAATAGTGAGATTATTTTAAGAAATACTTACGTTCTCTACGTATAGTTTGACTTCTTCTAAATCACAGATAAATTCACCACCAACGTCTATAAAATTATAACAATTATTAAAAAAATTTGTATTTTCTTCAGCCATTTTGAAAAACATTTCAACTTTTGCAGAGTAAATTCTAAGAGAGAGTCCTAATTTCATAAGTCTGATTCTAGCTTCCGTAAGAAACTTTTTTGAAATGGACATAACTAAGTCGTACTTATCCTTTGGTTTTGCTGCAAAAAAAAAAAAAACATGTCAAAGTAATAATTAACATTCAAGTGTACTTTGATGTAACATTATAATGATTCTCTTGATTATTATGATGCTACCAATACTTAAATTTAGTAATATTAGGGATTATTCAAAATCAATGTATGGCTTACTTTTAAACTACTACTGATGAATTGACCAAAATGTATATAAATACTACTTGGGAATAAACTGATTTCTAGGAATAGTTCTTCTAAAATTCAAAAAACTACTACTCTTACTACCTTAACTCTTCAACACACAAAGTGAAATGTTTATAATTAGTTCTTCAGTAAAGACAATAAAAGCAGATATTCTTTCAGCTTAAACCATTCTTATTTTGTGAACTTATCTTAAAAAATGATTTTATTTTTTTTAGCATTAGCCTTCACTAGGATATTTAACCAATTTTCAACATTTTTTAAATACTCGTAGTATAATTTTTTGAAACGAGTCACTGTGACTTGGTTGATCAAATAGAACATAACTTTTAAAAAATGTGAAAAGTTGTACATTCCGCAATGGACACGTAAAAACTTTTCATAAAAGTTATTTGTGGTATGTTCAAAATGAGTTTTAAAGCAAAGAAGATTTATGTTTTTGTTTTTACCTCAATAACAATATATGTTAACGTAACCTTAAGGAATTTTTTTTTTAAATATCGGCCTTCATTACAAAAAAAGATATATCTTTGCACTGCTTTACATACATCAAAATATAACAATTATGGTAGCAGAGTAAAGAAGTAATTTGCAATTTCTTCATTATTTAGCAAAAAATATGACTACAACATTAAACTTTTTTTTTCAGAAATCACAAGGCATGTAGCAAACTTTTAAGATTTTGCTTTCTAATTGATTTTTGTTTTTACTCTTAAAAAAATGGCTAAAGCTTATTATTTGGATCATTTGTGTAATTTTACCTAGTAACATTAAGTTTTTATAAAATGCCACAAATACTTTAAGTTATTATTTCACGTTATGAAAAAAGGAATGATTCATTTCTAATTACAAATTTAACCGGACTTAATCGTTGTAAGTTATGGTAACAAAGGAAAAAAGTTACTAATGTAAAAAAAAGTAATAGTATCTTTGTCCTACAACTAATGAGTAATACACAATGCGTGTATTAATTAATGATTCATTATTGAAAAATACTTCTAAAAACGGCTTTGCCGTAAGGGATGCAAAAGTGGGTTATCCGTTCTGGAAAAGCGTCAAAGCACTAAAATGAAGGAAAATATGCTTTGTTTATTTATTTGTATTTGGTTTCAATTATAATCATAGTCTAAATTATTCAGTCTTAAAGGAGGTTTAGGAGTATTATTTAGAGAGGCAAGAACAGGGACGGAACTATGAAAACCTTTTTTTTTTAATTTTAACACATTTATAATATACTTTAATTTTAATTAAAAGGCAACCTAATGTTTTCTCTTCAGAGACCGTGTTGAACTGCCAATATTAGTTTATTTTTTTCTCAAAACTTTCCTTAGTGAAAAATCTAAAATATTTCCGGTGTACTCCTGATATTCTCAAATATAACATTTATTTTTGGCACGATTCTGTACTTCGAAATTTTTTTCCAAACCTCCATAATAGCTTAAAAGACTATCTTATAAAAATATAACCATACTTAGATCAAAACTGTGATGTATCGAGGTATTCAATATAAATATATATTAGACACCTTGCATTATCGATGCTCTCCTTATATATTCGCCAATGCCAAATATATAAGTGCGTGATTGACCGTCTAGCTAGTCAGTCGAGTTGGTACACTGAGAAAGAACTCGCGCGTCTGCTGCTCCACAAGTACAGCCATTGCGCGAATTAACCAAGCAGCCCTTGACTATATCAGTGGCGCATCAACTGCACCACTTGGGCCGACTGAGCGTCCAGTGTGGATCGTCATTACGTACTTTACATAGTGCAGCTACCAAATGTGTCTATAGTCCGTCAGCCAGTCCAACATACGGTACAGCACTTGGTATATGGTACAGCAACCCGTATATAAATACTTACTCTTTTTATAACTATTTCATGTAACGTATAATGCATCAGTATTTATTGCGGATGTACGTTAAATGAAGGATGGACCACTTCTTTCAAAGATATACAGCATATTCCGATGACTTCATGAAGTGGTGTCATGGTAAATGACCTTTTTTTTAACTCACATAACCTTATTTTTATTAGACAGTACATTTATATTAATATAATATAAGTGATATTCTTCTCTTGCCTTTATTTAAATGAAATAACGGAAATAAGTTTAATTTAAAAAAATTAACAACTTTCACCTATATTAACTATATTCATAAATCGTTTAGTATGTATTGCCGGGTTGACAGGGGATTTAAGATATAGTGAAGTTTGTTTAAACAGTATACTGGCTACAATAATAAGGAAAAAATTTTATTTTTGTTATTAGTCACCGTATGCTGGAATATTTGTTTTTTCATGATAAAAGTGGTAGTATTTGTAAAAAATATTTTAATTCAAATTTTTGATTAAAATGAACAANCCATAGAGATATAATAAATAGAGCAGGGAAGCGAGACTGAGGCATGTCCACTGGAGCAGAGAGAGAAAAAAGGTTTCGGTACCTGTCTATCTCTCTCTAATTATGCTCTGATTGGTTGAGACTCACATCATGTATTTGAATCTCTGTAATGTAGCCAATCAGGGCAGAGTTTAGAGAGAGATGGACAGGTACCGCAATCTTTTCTCTCATTCTGCTTCAGTGGACAGTGCTACTTACATGAGACCCTATACCTTCCCTTATTATATCTCTATGGTGTGTGCGCGTGTGGTCTACGTGTGATTTTCCATTCGTTTAGTCTGTCGTTTGTCAGTGCTATAAGTATGTAACTATATGTATATGATGTATACACTCATGTATAAACACGATGGTAAAGCTTACACGGATAATTGCTAAAATGTTACGGAAATGTTACAAACGTCCCCCACTGTGTTCCCACATAGGTTGAATGACCATTAATTTAAAACTCTATTGCGTCTATCGAAGTACTCAATTCAGCCCCAGCAGAATAGCTCCTCTTTTGAAATCGATTAAATTTGTTTGTGCCCCAATGATTTATCTTCAAGCAGTTTGAATCGGCTCAGCTAGTTTTGGACTAAAAAGCCAAAAAATACTAGTGCACAATTCTACTAGCAATTCCACAACTTACTGAAAATAATGCATTTCCAGCTTTATTCTGGCGAATCAACTATGCTCGTAGTCTATGGCCCTTAGTATGCTGCAAGTACAGGAACGACGTTTGTAGTAAAATCCGCTTGTGGCGCTGGTTTCATGCCCTTAAACTAATTTCAATATTTCATGGTGATTGCCATAGACTATAATTGTAAAGTTCCTTTGTCAGAACAACGCTAAGCACTTTTCTCCAACCACGGTATAAGATATACAGGTGGTCCCATGTACGCATAATTTTTGTGAAATATTTGTGCTGTTTCATTTAAGTTTTAGCAGATGGCGAATAAGAGTCGAATACTGTATATAGTTATATTACTTGTGTTAGCAGATACCACCATATATAGTTTCACTACAACGTCTGCTCGGTGTTCATTTCCTATGCGACACCTAGTGCGAGAAAGTGGAAGTGACACATAATGCTCACAAAAATTTACTGTAGGCAATATAGGCAATGGATCCACCTGTATATCTTACACCAGCGTTGGTTTTCAGTCCTTGTGTTTTGGTCCCAAGCACTTGCCAGCGCCACCCCCGGGACTACTGTATATTTAATTTTATTATTGATCATTGATAAAATTCAAATATGCAATTGTATTGGCTGCATGGGCTGTTATTATAATTTATATTTCGTTAATACGTGCAAGTAAACGTACTAATATTACAAGCAAAGTTTCTTGAAGTTTCCAGCACTCTCTGAAAATGTCAAACATAGGTTATAATAATCCTTACAATAATACTTTACATGTATTATAAGTACTCAATTAATTTTATTGTTAATATTAATACGTTGACAGACATGTATTTACAATTTACAGTTGATTCTAAGAATATGCCCACGCAGCCAATGAAACTGCTTGAAATATTACTAATCAATAGTAACATAACATGTGAAGTAGCACAAGACAAGAACTAAGTCGCAGAAAGTCGCATGATTGTTCCGTATTCCGCTGCGCAATTACAGAACTGCATTCCAGCAAAGACATTTGTATTCGTCGGTATTACCATCCAGATCTGAGCCAGACCTAACGAAACTGAAAGAGGCTAGAGCAGACCGAATCTATTGGACTATATTCTTCATGTCACGTATTATGTTTCATGCTCCAAGTTAGTCAACAACTCTCTAGAACGCAAAAGTCACTAGAAAGATTGCGCGGCGCATTGCTTAACATGCCAGAGTAAAATACCTCCTTGATGGTTTTCTTACGTACTTGAGCGCACTCGAGTGCACTCGAGTAGTCACGAACACATACGTTGCCCCTCCACTACACGCAAGCAGCCTCGTGCACGTTTGTGCAGTTGCTGTCGCTAAACTC